TGTGTGTGTGTGTGTGTGTGTGTGTGTGTGTGTGTGTGTGTGTGTGTGTGTTCGTCTGTGTGTGTTTGTGTGTGGTTGGTGTGTTCTGAGAGAGAATGAGAGAGATGGAGAGAGAGAAAGAGAGAGAGAGAGAGAGAGAGAGAGAGACAGAGAGAGAGAGACAGAGAGAGAGAGAGAGAGACAGAGACAGAGACAGAGACAGAGGAGCGTTCCTGAATGTTTTCAGCCACAAATCTAAAGGAGAGATGATACAAAGAGATCGGTATTTGATAACTTGACAAGGATTCAAAGAAATAATCTACGTGCCTGATGTGTCCCTTGCCCGATTAACTTATGTTGTTAGCGATGAACGTCTGCAAAGTCTCTACCCAATCTTGTCAAAAGCGTTGCCTGTTGAACTGGTATCCCCTAGTTCCCATGACACCATGAACAAAGAAAAATTCTAGCTTTACTTTTCAGCTGAAACAGGATATGAAACGTAAAAAGTGCATTATACATTAACCGTGAGAGATATTGTTCTTTCCAGTAAACTACCTAAAGCGAACATGATAGCTACATACTTCTTTAGGACAACGTAACGTTTAAACCATGGTCTGATTTCTTGCGATTTAAAATCTAAAATATCGTCACCGGGTGAGTCTTGGGTTATTGATATGCAAAACATAACGTCTTTCAATTGAGTGGGCATGTTAACTGGGAGCGATAATATAGTAAACATGAATAGTTATTCACATTTGTAAAAAAAAGTAGCGTATGGACATCTCAATGTAATAAGATGTCATAATTATCCCGTGTATAACTGCTGGTTTATGCATTATCCCTCACATCTTGACCAATATTTAAGAGTTCAGCGCAATAAGAAATGTCTGTTTTAATAGCTTCTTTACAGACTTGTTGATGCTCCTTATTTTCTATGGAACACGTTAGCACAGAGCAAGAACATTAAAAGAAACAGAAAAATTTCTTTCGTATGTAAGCTTTCAATATTCAAGTTTTGTATCTGACCCAAGACAGTAGTAGCCTGTTTCAATTTCCCCTTTTGATTAAAATAACTGGTTTATACACCTAATGTTACAATTAAAATTATTTGATAGGAGGTGGGATACAGTGTGTCAACAAAAAGTGGTGATATTAGATAGGTAGGAATCCTGCTGACACGTTTTGCAAGCAAGGGGAGGAGTCTAGCTGTTTCCAAACAGATGCCAGCCACCCGTCTTGGTGCTGTCGATATAAGTAATGTGTGGTCAACTTACGTAAGATGTCTTCCTTTTCTTATTCTCTTACCGTTAGTCCTTATTTGGCTTTCCCCAGACTCGTTCATCCCAATGTCTTAGTCGATAAAGCAGTCACTGAGATAGCCCTGTGTATCGATCAGGTCTATCAATAGAGAGGGGCTAAGTAATTCCATTCGTTTATCGATCCATTTGTTTGTCCGACCATTCAATCGTCTCACTGTGAGGCAATGTGCCCTTGGCGCCTTCGATCCCTCTGTTTGCATACCTGGAAATCCCTTCACACCATTGCTCTTCAATCTAGGGTACCATCTCGGTAGCAATTTCCACCCATTTCCCTTCAGGGTGTCTGTGTGTGTGGTCCGGCCCTGGTCATCTATCTCGTAATCTCTGTCTGTCAACGTTCCACAACATTTACAATTAAGCCGCTGTTTTAGAGTGCCCACAATTCTTTTTCCTTCGGCAGTGTTATCAGTGCAATATTACACTCATTTATACGCACACACACACACACACACACACACACACACACACACACACACACACACAC